AGAAGAAGAAGAAATATATTGTCTTTCAAACACCGGACTCAATAAACGTTGTTTAAAAAAAGCGTTTATCAATGATGGCAATTATGATTGTTATGGAGGGCCTGACGAAGATCCTAGTTATTGTAAAAATCAATATCCAAGAGATCTTTCTAAACGATATCGTTGTTGGAATAGTTCAGAATGCATTCGAATTGAACAACTATGTGATGGTATTAAAAATTGTTTACATAATGATGATGAAGAAATCTGTTCAAAACGATCCAAAAATAATTGTTCTGATGGTACGTACTTCTGTGCTGGAAAATGTCAGAATAAAGATATTCGTTGTAATGGAGTAATTGACTGCTCATTGCAGCAATGTGTGAAATGGCCAGGCCAAATAGCCTACGGATGTGTTTCAGCATTTAGCGAAGAATATGACGAATGGTTTTGCGATTTAATTACAAAATACCCACCTTATAAGCAATTTTCATTTCATGAGTATAATCAATATCCGCCATTAAGCATTACTAATATACTAGAAAATCAGAATAAAAAGATATCGAGTAATCTTGGTCAAATAGCTAGAACTCCAAAATTTTCTAACGAAGATATTGATTTATATTATTGTCATCGTGGCATTCTGGTGAGTCATATAAATAATGGCAGAAATGTTTGTTTATGTCCACCCAACTATGAAGGAGATCGATGTCAATACCAACGAGAGCATATAACAGTTCATTTGAAAATTAAAACACCTATGGAAATGCAACGTACTCATATTTTTCGAGTTATCGCTCATTTAGAAACGAAAATACATTTGTTTTACGATTTGTTTGATTTTTTACATGTTCCATATATTCACAATGCCTCTTACAAGCATATTTTTTACTTAATTAGTCCACATTTAAATGAATCTCTAGCATTAAATGTTGTAATAAATGTATTTTACGTCACGGACAATACTGTTGAATATCATTCTACATGACATTATGGGATACAATTTGCTTTAATTTTACCAGTTAATCGTCTAACAGCACAATTAAATTTAGATCCAAAATATCTAAATGCCCTCAATTGCAATGAGTATTGTGTACATGGTGTATGCTCTTTATCACCAAATACAAGAAATCAAAGCTTTTGTTTATGTAATGAAGGATGGACCGGAGATACATGTGATATTACTTCATCCTTAGCATGCGCACCGGGTTCATTTGCATTCCATTCATATTGTGTATGTCCGCTCGGGCGTTTTGGCTATAACTGCTATGGCAAAGTTGATCTTTGTCGGAGCAATATATGCCAAAATAATGCTACATGCCGTACACTTGATATTAAATCAAATCAATACATTTGTATATGCGCAGAAGGCTATTATGGTAAATATTGCCAAAATTCATCGGCTAAAGTGAATATTGTGTTTAATAAATTAATATATGATCACTCAATTTTCGACATTCCAGTTGTTTTAATACATTTCGTGAATATAGTAGACATGATCAGTTTAACTACAATACAAGATCGTTTTCTTTTTAAAAGAGTTTCTTTTAATAGAAATTTAACTATAATTTCTCATCAACCATTTTTATCAACATTTATTTATGTTCAAATTTTCTTTGATGCGAAAGATTATTATGGTCAATATTATTTGGTTAGCTTCTCGAAACAATCAGTAAAAGCAGTTTATACAAGCATTTTAATGTCCAATGAATGCCCATTTATCGGTCAATTCTTAAGTAATGAAATTATGTCATATTCATATATGAAGCGTATTAAATCATACTATAAACCATGCTTAAAACTTGGTACGAAATGTTTTTATGACGAAAAATATATATGTTTATGTGACAATGAAGCAAATTTCGATTGTTTTCTATTTGATCACTCGGATAGTAACTGTACTGATCGTCAATATTGTCAAAATGATGGCCATTGTGTTCAATCAATGCAAAAACGTCATGGTTATTTTGAATTTGCATGTGTTTGTTCGGAATGTTATTATGGAGATTTTTGTCAATTTACAACAGCGCATTATACAATTTCATTAAATTCTTTACTTGGCCAGCATATTTATCCTGATCAATCATTAAATGATCAATCGTCTGTCATTAAAGTCACTTTCGCCATTGTAATTATCATGACGATGGTTGGCTCATTATGCAACATATGTTCAATTATTACATTTAGTCAACAAAAAATACGGAATGCCGGATGCGGTCTATATTTCTTCAGTTTATCCATTATTAGTCAGCTTTCTTTGATGGTATTTAGTATACGATTCTTCTATTTATTAATAACACAGATCGTAAAAGTTAATAGACGACTTGCGTATGGTAGCTGTATTTGCTTGGAGTTTTTATCAAGTGTACTACCATCTATTTTCGATTGGTTAACTGTGTGTGTAGGCATTGAACGCGCGTTTACAGTTGTCAATGGCGTTAAATTTGATAACAAGTTAAGGAAAAGACTATCCAAATATGTTATTGTCGTTGTTATTCTTACTATAAGCTTGAGTTCATTACAAAAACCATTCAATCTAGAACTCATCGATGATCCACGTTATAGTGGGCATATATGGTGTGTTTCAAAGTACAAGCACAATTGGTTACAAGATTTTGAAAAAGTGATAAATGTAATTCATTTAATCGCTCCATTTGTTATTAATATGTCATCGATAATTGTTTTCCTAATTAGTATTGTACATCGTAAGGTATCATCATTCAACCAAAAAGGTTCGCACAATAATGTATTAAAGGAACAGATTCTAATTTACAAAACATTTATTATTAGTCCAATTGTAATTATCCTAGTAGAATTACCACGCCTTATCCTTACATTTGCACTCTCTTGTATTCGATTCGAATGGCAAAAATATGTGTATTTAGTATTCTATTTGGTTAGCATACTGCCATGGATGGGTACTTTAGTTATATTTGTAATTCCTTCACCATTATATCGTGATGAATTGAAAGCATTTGGACAACGTTCATTAAAACGATTCCGTAGCCATTGGAATGTGCATATTCCGTGAGTGTATGGATGCGCGTGTGTCAAGCAACTATGATGGATTTCCCCTTGTTGGAAGGACTCTTTATCCTCAGACGACTTAGAGTTTATGACTATCTTGAGGGCATGGGTGTGGGTGTGGGGTGTGGGTGTGAGTGTGTGGGTGTGGATGGGTGTGGATGGGGGTGGGTGTGG